TTTTTTGTAACAAAATATCGATTTCTGCTGTCCCTGTATCGATACATTATTAGCAAACAAAATATCACCATACTACACAGTATCGATTTTTTCCTCCACCCCTACTGATTATATTCTGATCAATGATAAGCAATTAAGCATGAAAAGCTTAACAATTATATCATACCTAATATCGTGTCTTTTATTCAGAATAATGTGTATTCATGGGCTGGAGACACATTTCTTATCTTTTACATGCAAAAATATTCATTACTCAAGCTTTTCATTCATCATAGTATTAGACTTATACTTTAGTTATATCTTTGATCAAGAGTAAAGATGATTTACTAGGAAAAGCACATATAGATAAACACGGTTTGGTGCTCTGTATCACTTTTAACATTTTTAACGGGATGTTTCGACTTTTTACCTTCTCTGATGTAATGAGTGCTAAGCTGGGGGGATTTCAGTTTCTTTCATTCCCACCATTCTCAACAGCTGGCATGTGAAACTCCATGGGATCATGGATATAAATAAATAAAGCCAATCCAAAAACTGTCTGTGGACAGTGAATAACATGCCTTTCAATTTCACATTATAGGAAAAGCTATACAGTAGGTCCAGCAGCTTCTGTTTTCACAGGGAATCCAGGCATTAAATGTGTTACAAAGCAACAAAGTGGACATTCAGGCTGCATTTGTTTCAGATAAGCATTGCGGTGCCGAATACGCGATGGTGTGAATCAGTGGGTTCAATTTGACTGTCCAGTGAGCAAACACGATGTGCCAAAGCCAACCTCTGTTTTCACGTGATTATTTCTAGCCACATAATTACATATTAATCAAGCAAAGGTGACAAACATCTTCCTTTCTCTAAATAGAAACTCTTTCCACTCAAATGCCCAGTTCCACTTAATTATTTACCGACTTCCCCTCAGTCTTCACAGATCATTGAAGATTTGTTTCATGGTTTTTTTTCTTCATGAAAAATGAAATGCACGACAACAAAACACGTTTCCTTTGTGAAAACGTTGATTGCATTTTCTGTAAATTTGTCATTTAAAAAAAAGCATGTGTGACACAACATCACTAGAAAGAGAGAGAGAGAGAGAAACTGGCTTTAGTTAGCATGTATGATCACAGCGTCCTTCTTCTCTGAACACATCAGAGCGGGAGGAATCCTCATGGGCTTTACAGAGCTGTCATGTTTCCTTAACTACTTCATCACAATTGTCTTCCCATGGCTACCAGGTATAAATAGGTCATAGGATCCCTGTGTGTGCAGCGCTGTACATCTCAGTAGCTTTACTGGTCATGCACACCTGAAGCTGATGGGGACAGTCAAAGAAACAGTCTTTTGAGAATTGTCTTTCCAGCTGCTGCAACTTCTGTATCAAGGCCGCGGTGATTCTTTAAAGTCGGACGTACTTCGCAAAGTGTCAAAATTAACAAGAAAGTTGCTGAATCCTGTTATCATTGATTTATGCTTCTGTTCATTCTCATTAATATCTCCTATGACTCTCTCCATCTTCCAGTACAAACAAGTGGAGCAGTACATGTCGTTCCACAAACTCCCAGCCGACTTCCGACAGAAAATCCATGACTACTATGAGCACCGATACCAGGGCAAGATGTTTGATGAAGAGAGCATCCTGGAGGAGCTTAATGAGCCTCTGCGCGAGGTATGAAAAAATAAATCCCATACATTTTCTGTGATGTACTCACTCACCTGTGAATACACACGTCTCCACAGATGAAATAAGATGGAATAAATTCAATAAAATAGTCATTTATTCTTGTTTCATCTGAAAAATGCGACCCCGTGTTTAAAATCAATTACTTCCAGCCTTCTTTGTATGTATTTAGTTATTAAATGGTCTAATTTCCCTACTCATTCGGTAGTTGGCTTTTTTTTTTCCAAATTGAAAAATATAGAGGTTTACAAAAGCAAAAGAAATGGGTCAAAAGTAATGTTTGCACCTTTTAAATTTCAAAAGTGAAAATATATGCCAATGTCCTTCAAGACAATCTAAAGCAACCCCCCAAAAACTATAATATAGAATAGTGTTTGAACTGTACAAACAGTGAATATACTATAATACACTCTACCCATCATCAGACAGCTATCACCAAACTGTGTTTGTATCTTTAACTGTAAATCCCTGTGCTAAAGATCTGCACAGATTAACCATTTGTATCTCCCGTTGCCATTTAGGAAATTGTCAACTTCAACTGCCGTAAGCTGGTGGCCTCCATGCCGCTGTTTGCCAACGCAGATCCCAACTTTGTGACAGCCATGCTGACCAAACTGAGATTTGAAGTATTTCAGCCTGGAGACTACATCATCAGAGAGGGGACAATTGGCAAGAAGATGTACTTCATTCAGCACGGGGTGGTGAGCGTCCTGACCAAAGGAAGCATTGGCATGAAGCTGATGGATGGCTCCTACTTTGGAGGTATGTAACTACTCAGTAATCTACTCAGTTCTATTCATTTCTGTTCTTCTATGGGTCATTTACACTTTACCTCCCACTAGAATCCACTGCAGCAAGGATGTAAAACTCATTTTACATCATGGGCCACCTAAAACTCACTTTGATCTTAAGTAGGCCAAAGCAGCAAAACTCCCCTTTCTATCTGTGTAAAGATATTTAATTACAAACTTAATCTCAGTTAATGTGCAATTTCAACAGTAAATCTCAGTTTTCCTACACGATAAAGAAATGCTGCTGTAGCAAATGACAGAAATCAGTCGGCACAAAAATTAAATATGTAAAATTACAGAGAAAGTTTTGCCTACAAAAGGCAGTGAGCATTGTAGTTTAATTGGTGTTGTTTATCTGTTATTCAATTACTTTAGTGTAGAGTGAATAACAATGTCTTTATCAGTAGGAAATACTGTAAAACCTACAAAAATACAGTTAAAAGTCCAAAATCTCTGCTCTCTTTCACATTTTCCAAAGCTGTCCAATGGGCCTGATTGGCGTCTTTGTCAGGCCATTTCTGGTCCCTGGGCCTTGTGTTTGACAGCCCCGCACTACAGTAATATCACAGATGTGTGTTTACTTTTGCAGTTTGTAGATAAACAAAAAACTACCCCAATGTTTTATTTGGAATTCTTGTTCAGCCTTACGGCGACTTCTGTCCCACTTTCCCAGGTTGTTGTTCCTCTGTGGCTGTTTAGAAGCATGTGGTGCTACTATTGCCACGCATAAACCCACACACACACCAACATACACTTTTTAGCGTCCTGTAGCGTGACTCTTTGGGCTGCATTTTTAACATCCGATGCCCTCTGCAGAAGGTCTGTCCACTCACAGTTTCGTTGATGTGCCAGCTGCCCAGAGCACTGTTGTAGTGACATGACTGCACAGCACGCACATGCACACATTCATTCACACACACACACCTAATTAATAACACCTAATTAGCACAGCAGAATGAAGATGATGGGGCCATTTATAATGTCAGACATCGAGTGTTTGAAGTCATGCCTGCGACCAGGGAGGAAATCACAGGTCTCCATGCACACAGCTAGCAGTGAGCTAAGAACCGAGGGGACAACAAGGTTTAACTTCCAGTGGGGTGTGTATGTGTGGTAAAATCGCTGAATAAGTCAGTAGCACTAAGTAGATGGTGATGTCACCATCACCAACCAGCTAATGCACAAAGTGTTTTTTGATTGGATTTACCTGCTTTTAAATTTTAGTATTCGACTTAACCTTAGCCACTGGTAGATTTTCTAACATTAAGAAACCTTTTCGTGGAGTTTCTCCTTTCCACACCAAACTACATTTTGTACAGTTATCACACACAGATGGGGTAGATTGCATGTTGAGGAAGGGTTTTTCCTTTTTTACCCCTATGCCCTTTCCATAAAGTCCACAGTGAATACAGCCAAACATAACCTCATAATCATCATCTTTATTACACAGTGTGTGAGCAGATCCTGTGGACAAGCGGTTTGTTACTCAGATTCTTCTGGTGTCCCAACAAAATCCCAGGGGAACGGGTTAATTCCTGTCAACACATCAGAAAATGAAACCGTAAATAAGAGAATTTGCAGATATTACATTAACTGAAACAGGAAACAGAGCTGGTTATGCCACAGAAACAGGTTACAATGATCATGATTCAAAATTGAAGCAAAGATCCAAATTGCCACAGTTCACATCAACCATTCAGCCTTTCTTCGTTCTTTCAGTATTTTTGAGGCAGTTTCCCCGTCTACAAGCCACAAATGGTCACCCAGTGGTTTGGAAACCCTTTTAATTCAATAGCAGCAGTTTCATTGGTATTATTATCCTCTGTCTGCACTTCCCAGTAGACACTATTGATGCTACCAGTATGTAAATGGCTGCATTTTGTGTAAACAGGGATATTCCAATTTCAAGAGAGCTTTCTGAAAGGGATTCTAACAAAAGTGGATTTCAAGCAACTTCTGGTAATCACTAGCAGTTGCTTTAATATGATGTCAGTGAATTAATATAAATGCACTCTATTGCACACTATAGGTTGCTTGTCTAGAAATGTGTTTGGTGGAAAAACTTTCTTGCAGAGAGAGTCAGCCGGTATCAAAAGAAGCTTATGCTAATGGAGAATCTAATGGACTGTATATATTATAAAAATGTGTATATACACATATATGTGCTAATTAGTCCTCAATAACAAAGTATTAAAATAATTTCATTCAACTAGCAGACAGGTATCAGCTACAGCTACCTGTGTCTGCCACACCTGTTACTGTAAGCTTTAAGACTTCCCAAACTGACAGGTAACAAAAAATATATAATTTTTTTAAAAATTACTCATCGTACACACCAAAACTATTTTTCTACAAGGGTGTAAACACAGACGTTATTGCTGTCTAGTCTGGTAGTGGTCTTGACTTTAAGCTGATGGAACCTGCTAACGATTTCACTCTGTTTCCAATTTGTTTGCTAAGCTAGGCTAAAAGACTGTAGTATTAGATTTAACAGATACACATGAAAATATAATTATTCTTCATTAGAAAGTAGATAAAATAAAATAAAGTGCAACTTCCTTGGATTACTCTGAGTTTGTGAGAAACCTCATATAAACAGACAGGAACAGTCCAGTGCAGTGCCTGCTCTTAATGGAGTATCCTGGTGCCCCCACACCCCCTTCCCCCTTCCCCAGAGAGTCAGAGGAGGTCAACCTTTCAGGGAACGGAAAAGGAGGGAATATGGTTGTCAAGACAACAGTCAGCTCCAGCCAATAAAAGGAAAAAGTAATAGAGAAGAAGATACTAAAGAAGGGAAACAACTGAATGCAATGCAGCACATCTCTATATATGCTATACACTGCTGTCAGTGTAGTGCTAGTGAATGAGGAAATACCTAGGGTTACATTCAGCAGGTCTTTGTTCTGAGCACACATTTTCTTAAGCCCAGGAGTTTTCCACAGCCTGTGTGGAAACATAATAGAACATTTTAACATTTAATGTACTGTAACAGCGTTTTGGCTGAGCGTCGCACTGCTTAACAGACCTCTTACTCATAGCGTTTCTCTTCTTTTCTCTATTGCTGTCACACACTGAAATCTGTGGGTTTGCCATTTTCTGTTCTGACCGTATCTCTCACCCCTCCAGAGATCTGCCTGCTGACCCGTGGCAGACGGACAGCCAGTGTGCGTGCGGACACCTACTGTCGCCTGTATTCTCTCTCTGTGGACAATTTCAATGAGGTGCTGGAGGAGTACCCCATGATGAGGAGGGCTTTTGAGACAGTTGCCATTGACAGATTGGACAGGATAGGTAAGAAAACTGCCGTTCTGTTCAATATAGAGATGAGTAGTCTCCGGTAGGTGTTTTACTATGATGTGATTAAAAGTTTCAAAATTTAAAACAAAAGCCAAAAGATTAAAAAGATATTTAAGACCACAGCTTTCAGATACTTTTCATCTGCTGTAGATTTTTAAGGCTTACCACTACTTCCTTTTTTTGTCCTCCATTTGTTCACTTTCCTCAATTTTTTTAAAAACATACTGCACACCAATCAAAGCGTTCAGCTCATAGCTCTTGGGGAATCACCTTGTTAAGAATTTGGAACAAATTACGTGTGTGAACGGCTGCTGATAACACAATGTCTAAAGATACAATTTAAAACTGATTCTTTGCTAAGCTGCTACTTGAGTTAGGAGGCCTTTTATGCTCGAATGATTCAGTGTTAAATGGTTCAGCAAACCAAAAAAGAACAATCCTCTGAAAATGAGAGAAAATGAAAAAGACCTTTAGAAACTGTAGAGAATAAGTATTCAAAGACCACTTTTAAAAATGCAAAAAGGTCAGTCTTTTGGAAGCAAAATTTAAATAAATCAAGGGTGTTGTAAGACTTTTGTGCAGTACTGCAGCACTCAGGCTCCTCAGTCCAATATCGTCTCTTAAATTTATGCAGAAACATGCTAGGCTACAATAAAGAAAAGGGAAAAAATGTTTGAAAGAACAATAAACAGTAAAAATGTATTTATTCTGACATGATTCATGAACAGAGATATGAACAGAGATTTCGTTTTGGATACTTATGCCTCAGTGATAAAAGCCACGCGCATTGCTGTCTTCATAAGCTTATGAGTCATTCACAAGATGAAATGAAGCATAAGGAAAACATACTCATTCATTACTGTGATGTCTCTGTCAAAACACCGCACGGTCTGACAGCTGGGATGTAGTCTATGAACGATCCTAACAAAGGGCTGTGTGTGGTGTACGGCTCAGGAAAGAAATCAAAGGTGAATATGTATCTTTGTATGTTATTAGGTTCCTTAAGCTCAGTTGTTTTAGTGCAGTTTAACTCTTTTGGTAGATATTTGCCATTTTGGGAAGAAAAGCAAAGCCAGTTAAAACTTTTACTTTACTTGAAATGCATCATTCTGATTTTTTTTTTTTCAGCGATTGTTCAGCAGTCTCAGTCTGGATGTATATAAAACAAATATTTTAAAAAACACACAAAGATGTGCTCATGAATGCTGATTGACAGTTTATATTTTCCTTCACATTAAAAACAACTTTGCGTCTCCCGTCATGCCCCCCAAGGTCAGCTAATGTTACATCCCTCATCACATGACCACACCTCATACGTTCACGAGGCCCCGAATCTGCCACCTGCCAGCTGTTGCCATAGCAGCCAGTTTCCACACATGAGCAGACTTCAGTCAGGCAACTCACATATTTAAAGAGAGGCTTGGATTGTCTGCTTCAAGACCAAACCTCCAATCAAACATTCCCACCGGGTTCCGTGCATACTTGATGCATACTAGTCACTAATGATGAGCTCTTTTAATTGGCTTTCTCAACAGTCTTTCTCAGAAGAAAACAAGTGGATCAAAGACAGAGAGATCTATAAAAAGGTGTCTAAATAAAAGAGACATGCTTTGTTGGTTAAATAGCTTTCATGATTAAATAAATCTTTAAGCTTAATTGTCTTCAGTAGTTATGTATTGTTTTCTGTGAGGGCGTTTATGACTAGAAGTTTGAATGAGGAATGCTGATTCAGCCATCCAGGCATTTTAATGACAACAGTGTTTGACCTGTGTGGGCCATTAATGGACATAGAGACACTTGTGTGACCTAATAATCAATGGCTAGTAAAAGAAACTCTAGGTGTTACTTGGCAATGGTACTGCTGTGGAAACAGTGACGTATTATCCGTGCTTTATCTCTGAATTCTGCAAATGAGGGTGGTCCAACTTGCAGTACCAACTTCTTCAAAGGCATGATAATCCCCAACCAAGTTTGCACTTTAGAGGATGCAATCAGATGGTTGTATGCCTTTTCCCCTTTTTATTGTCATCCATCACTTCTATTTATGATGCACATTTGATGAGCAGAGCCTGGCACTACAGCTTGGCCAGTTTACAAGCACCCAAGGAGGATGTATGACAAGAAACACCACCATATCTATGAGAAATTCCATCTCTCAATGGCTCAGTCACACTAGAGAAAAAACATGGTAGCAACCTCCTTGTTCCTTGTGACTTGGACAAATTGGTGGTTCCCTGGTGAATCCATTGAATTTTTTTTTTTGATTTGGCAACTGATTACAAGTAATGTGGAATACACAACTCTGCTATGAGTCTGTCTTAGAATAAGTACATTACTGTCTGTGGAGGAATTCTACGATCTACGAGGTTCTGACTGGAATGTAAGTAGTTGATGTAAATGTACTTTTAATGTCAGTTTTCTGCCAATCTGCCAATTTATCGCAGTTCAACCCGTTCATCTGTTTGGCGTCATTCAATCACAAACTGATAGCAGACTGACTCGGTCTTATTGCTGTTTTATTGCCAGTCTTGATGCACCAAAGTAGCTTTGAAGATCGCAATAGGATTGCGAGTAGATGCAGACCTGATCCCCTTAAATGCGACCATTTCAAAGGCAGCTAGATCGCACATTCATTGCACACTGATACAAAAACTTTGTGTGATGCCGACTTCTCCAACTGCTGTTTTCCCTAGGAGAATTTCCAAGGATGCAAGCCAACAAATATGCATTCCTTTGTCTCCTCTTTCCAAGCCTCCAAACACCTCAGAGAGTAGCTCTGTGTTATCAGCAGATAAAATCCCCATAAAAGTCAGTGGGAGGAGGAGGAGTTCAACACAGAGCTGGAATGAAACAACAGTACTTACCAGGAACACCCACACTTGATTAATTTTCTCCAAGCCTTCTCATTTTTTGTGTGTCTATATAAAAGCTAAATTGAGTCATACATTTCCAGGGCCACACATGTTACAGCGTGTCCCCCTTTTCTGATTGTTGGCATTATCAGGAGAATCCCATCTGTGGGAAAATCTTGCTTGATACACAGCATCAAGCAAAACTGCTGACGATTAAATATGATCACGATGACCTGTATAGATGTGTTTGCACACTCTAGTGCAGATTTTCATAATCACACTGTAATTCCACTATTAAACTCCCAAGCTGTGAGTGTTTTTATTCCACACATGCAGCAAATGTATCATGCTGGTGAAGCACAAGTCACCAAATCATCATCAGCCTTCCTCTCATGTTCTTCTGGCTTAGCAGCTGGTTATGGTGGAATAATAATCTTTGTTTGTGATGTACAGTAGATCTCAGGCTTTGCACTTACAAATAACCTAGCTCTATAGTCAGCTTTCCAGGCTGCCTTCTGCACTGGTGAATCGAGCTGACAATACTACAGTTTCCATATGAACACACAAACCTCTCTACATGCTGTGAGTCCCTTTTTGTTACCAGGGCACAACAGATGTTGGGTCATCTGGATTTTGCTAGGAAGGCTGCCAACATCTTGTCTTTGGTCTCAACATGTCCAATCCCTGCAGCAACACATCACAGTGTCCATCTTTTTCTCTCATACTTCATCGCCTCCTGTTTTAACAGTATCTAATGCTCACCTGCAAAGAACCTTCTACTCTAAATCTGACATATTGAGGATTTGTTCACCTGATCTCACCGTTAGTTGCCTTCTCCTCACATATAAGCCACTGATTGAGAGAGAGAGAGAGCCTATTTACTGACTATCAGCCTATCTGGGCCTCACATCAGAGGGAAGGCACTCAGCAGGTATCATACACAATAGTCTCTAACACAGTCATCTTACTTCCCTGACAGCGGTGGGTTTGAACTTGTGCGATCCCATTATTCTCTTCTCTGCAGTACTACTGTGACCCAGGATGGCCCTCAGCTGAAATGCACACCTGCTTTCACCTGAATTACTCTGTCTTAGTTTTATCTGTGCAGACAGTTTTTTTCAGGACTAAGTGGGATTCTGCAGTTCACTCCTCAGTGGCATACATCATAATGCCTCGTACAAATCTGCCTTTATAATCCCAGCTGGTTTGCTGTTTTACTTTTGAGTGCTTTCAAGAGGTTTTGCTATAAGAAGCAGTGCATTTCTGTGAGTCATTTACAGTCTGAGATCACATAAACCAGCTTAATATTTTAAAGCATTATGACCACCACATGAATTTATAACACACAACTGAATTAAGGAATCAACTGGTGCATGCAGGGATGGTTTCTAAGTCATTGATTGATGCCCTGTGCATTCTTCAGTATATGCACTGTAGATCAGAGTGCATATACTGTATTTTTCTTTCCTTGCTGTGTCCTCTCTCCTTGGCGCATTTATGAAATAGTGTGGACAAATTGCAGTTTTTAGTGTCGGATTCATCACGTGGCTGTTTTTTCACCAAGTGTATGCTTCTGCTAAGAAAATAGATCACACATCACTTGTTCAAGTGCGTGTTTTTGGCCATCGCACTCACAGCTGAGATGATGATGGGGAAAAGCCTCAAGTCGGCTGTGCAACTGCTTCTGAAATTGGGGCCACTCATCCAGCGTTGCATCCAGCTGTGCTTTGAGCTGGCAAGGCTGGATTCAGTGCTTTGCTGGCAGCTCAGCTTCTCTCTCTTTTTTTTTCACATAAAAATCAGAGGTTGGCTTCCTGATTTGGATGTGGCCTGTTAGCATCTGCCAGCAAACACAAGGCGAGACTCCCCGTGCCATATAAACTGGGACACAGACCTTTTCCTCAGATGGTTTCACTAATCTCTTGTTTGCAGTTTATGATGCTTGCGGCCATCAAATTTAGCAATAAAGGCATCAGTTGGTGCTGTTTACTGATAAACTGTTAAATTAGCAGTTGCAATAGCCGTCAATTAGCTGCACATATACGTTAGAAATACGTTGAAGTAAATAGTGTTTTCTCCTGTAGGGCTAATATATTGTCAGTGAAATGCTCCCTCTTACATCATATGCACTGAGGTCACTGCAGAAATAATGGTTGCCTGCACCTCTGCATTACCCTGCATTACCTTAGTAGAGGGTGTTTCTGTGTCTGTGTGTCCATCAGTCTTGGATTGCTTGTTTGCAAAAAATGGATACAGGCAGTATATCTGTTTATATCTGTTTATATTTTAGCTTTTTGTCTGTTTAGCATATTATTAACAAATTGTAAGGTACGGAAATATAGCATTAAAGTCTATTTTGTTTTTTCTTTCATTTTTTGCATTGTTTCCGTTTGCTATAGCAACACTTTTTTCCATGTCTTTACAGGCAAGAAGAACTCGATCCTGATGCACAAAGTTCAGCATGATCTCAACTCAGGTGTTTTCAACAATCGTGAGAACGAGATGATCCAGGAGATAGTTAAATATGACCGGGAGATGGTTCAACAGGTGGATGTGCCACGCCCACGGGCCATGTCCATGACGCCTCCACTGACCGGTGGGATCTTTACGCCTCCAAGTTCCTCCGCCCACAATTCAGCAGTTGCCACTCTCCAGCAGGCTGTAGCCATGAATTTTTGTCCCCCCATGCAAGGAAACTCTGTGGGATTGGGTAACCTGCAGTCTCCCAGGATGATGAGGAGATTTCAGGTGATGCAAAGTGTATCGAGCCCTGTCTCAGCCTCTCCACTTCAGTCTCAACTCCTTGTTTCTGGTGCCTTTCCTCCGGTCCTGTCCAGCCCCCCTGTCCAAAGCCCACTAGCAGTCGGTGGGCGATCATTCCAGTATGGATCCAGTGCCCTGGCTGGTCCCACCTCAGGCTCACAGCTTTCTCTAGTCCAGCAGCACATAGCCAGCCCCGTGCACAGGCCCAGCACACATAAGAGCACCCATTCTTTGCAAATGGGAAGTCTGAGCCAAGATGCCAGGGCACTGTCAGCTTCTCAGCCTTCACTGCCTCACGAGATGGGACAACCAGCTGTCCCTAGTCCACCCCAATCTACACGAGTCTCTTCTACTTCCATCGAGCCCCCTCACACCCCACTGGGTCACACAGGCATCCGGAGCGCCATACCACACAGGGTGGTTCTCCCACACCAGATGTCAGTTGGCGCCTTTCCTGTAGCATCCCTCCCTGGTTCCGTTCATGGTTTTGCACCTGTTGCAGGGGTAGCAGTAGGAGGAGTGGGAACTGGTCTGGGAGAATCGGGACTCCCCAAGAAGGACTCTTTAGTGAGCCTTCCTGAGACAGACCACATCAAAGTCAAATCCAGGCTATCCTCAAACTTGTGAACCTGATTAAAAACACTTGGAGAGTGACTCAACAAGGATCTTGACTACAGGAACATGGGGAGATTTCTGTTATCTCTCCTACAGTTCCTCTTCTCTTTATTCCAGTTTGACTATCCGATCGTATGAATGTCGAATGAGATGCAGCAGGGAGAAGCTGATAGGCGACCGTTCTAATATAATAAAGTCGGTATGGTGACTTTTAAAATTGCAGCACTCAGATGTTTCTACTCACAGAAGTACTAGTTGCACAGATTGGTAATGGTACAGTAGTGTTTTTAATTCACAAAATAATCCACAACACACGGGAAATTTGCTTCACTACCCCTTCCTTCACCTCATTTTATGCAAACTTGGGGTTGGATGAGAGTTAAAGAGATTCAGGGATGCACTTAAAGTATCAGAAGTTGGCACTTTAGTGGGATCTTATTGCTATATTTGAGCAGATATTCTCAGTAGGTTGGCTGGTATACAGTCTAAAAGCAGTCTACTTTGACTTTATAAATCAGACTAATAAGATCTGATAGCCCTTAACTCAGATAAATAAGTCCCAGATCACAGACAGTTAATATCCTCAATGCTGAAATTACGATTGTATTGTTTCTTCAAGCCAAGCCACTGATTTCTACAGTAAATGTCTGCCTGTTTGTTTTATTTAAAGCTGCATTAATCACTGTACTTTAAATTAACACCTGCAAGTTTGTGGTACTGTTCAGTCTTTTTCCAGCAAATGATTAATATTGAAATGACCTGCACAGCAGCAACAACAGAGACAAATTCAGCAACAAGCTGATGAATAATGTTTTAATGACCTTGTTGAGACCAAAACAGAGTTAACCAGCATCCCAGTAAAAAAGAACTGTGATGCAATAATATGTAGTATAATATTGCTCATGTGAGCAACTTTCTAAGGTAAGTGACGTCAGACTTTTGCCCTCAAGTAGCTACAAACTGATTGATGCAGCTTTAAGTAGATCATAGAAGTAGATCATAAAGACTTATGTATATAATTCCTTTTAATTACATATACATGGCCTCTGATGGAGGACCTGAGCTTGACAAACACACACATACCATCCCCTGGAGTGCAGGTTTATGGACTAAAGTCATGTAAGTGGTAATATCCCACAATTGTGAAAATGTTCTGTTTAACCTTACAAATTGTAATTCACTGCCAGCCAAGTAAAATAAATTTTATAGTTAAAATGTAAATTCCCTCATCAAAATGTAAATTCATTCTTTTCCTAACCCCTAATCTCACTTTCCTTTAGTTGCAGTTTGGGCCATGTGTCACTACGCCAAAGTCAATTCACACCGATAATGAAACTCCCGCGAAGTTCAATGCCGCTGCCGCTGCTACGGTTTTGGTCCACAGCCGAGGACCGCGCCGATACTTTGCAGGATGTATATTGCAGTGTGCCTCTGTCATTACAGCTTCAATAAGAGGTCATGGAATACCGGCAATTTGTGTCCAAAAGCATTAGGAAGGGAACCTTTTCTCCTGGACCTGATATTCTATTCACCTCATCTCACTAATGCCTGAACCATTACTGGGTAATGAGTGTGGAAATTGGAATCCCCCGGGTCTGTTTGGGACTATTATTGTTCTCGTTCAATTGGATTTCATTATACAGTGCCAATAATGAGTTCCTCTCCTATGATCATTTTCATTTTGTTTAGTTTCAGTCCAGGCGTTGTTATCCACCTTGAGAGTTCTGAACGGGACAAAGTTGAAGGTTTATAAGTATTTTTGTATCGTGTTTTTCAGGTCTGTTGTGCTTTTGTTTTATCCCCAAATTATGCCCTGTGGAACCTATTTAGCTACTCCAAAATAATTAATAGAGGCTTGTTATGAGAATGGTATTTTGCTGAACTTCACATTGTTTCCTGGAGGCACTCTGTTAGGACAGGAAATGCATTTTGTGACTAAATTAGTTTCTAGATATTTTTACTCTAGTGGAAAGCACACAGTAAAGGATGATGGGGGAACAGAGAAAGAGAGTAAACCAGACTGAGTCAATACCTTTACTCATATCACGAGATATTACTAGCTCAATTTTAATAATTATAAACAAACCCCATGTTTTAATTAAGTGTGGAAATACTGAAACCAAAGTTCCAAAGATTGCGACTCTTTTGTATGCAAACCTCACAGTGATTTAGCATAAAAATCAGACAACACTCATTCAGTCCTATTGTCTGAAAGTGATGTTTATCACATGAAGCAATAACTGTTTGAAACGGAGTGAATGACCACTGTATGCAGATGATGTTGTCCTCGAGGTGTTAACGAAGATGCAATATTTCATATTTTAGACCGCGCTCCCAAACTTTACTGAGAATTTGTTGAACATCTGTCTTTGAAAACAGATACGTTCAAACCGCGCTTACTGTCCACTCAAACTAACTTGACAGACATGGTATTTCTATGTGTAAACATAGTGTGCATCATGTAAACCAGACTATTAATTAATGTAACCTAGTTTACTGTAAATGTAGATCTGCTATTAAAAAAAAAAACAGATGAAGAAAATGTTTGAAAAAAAAGAATCTCTTTGTAATCTCTGACAGAATGCATATTATCATCTGGTATGAACTGATATTACTTGAAAATAATAATTAAAGGAGAGAAAAGCTGTTTGTATTACAGAGGATGTATCGCTTGTTTTTCTACAGTTACCACACAGAGTTTGTATATACTCACGTGCAGTGTTGGGAAGGTTACTTTTAAAATGTATTCCA